ATATTGTATTACTTTACCCTTGACAAAAGCTTTTGATGCTTCGCATACCGTTCACAGCCTCACTGTGGTTGATGCAAATAGCTTCTTGAAGTTATGAAAAAGAATCAATAACAGATGTTTTTGTGTTAAAATCATCCTCAAATAACTGAGGTTCAACATACATGGAACCTAATTCCATATAATGCACATAACGTGCTGAAAAGGGGATCAGTAACAAAGAGGCTCTAATAAAAATAAAGCAATGGGGTTGCAGTCCAACCCTTTCCTAGTGGAAGCAAAACATATTTTGTCTCAATATCAGAGATCTTGTAGAGTTTGACTTCAGCTGCCAGCTCACATGCCTTAAAGATGCCAATGTCTTTAGAATTAATGAGCTCTGTTTAAAGTGGGGCCAGACACAAAAACCTTCTCAGCAAAATGAAAGTTTCTTCTGTGATGGTGTCATACAAGATGTTCTCAATTAAGCCAAGTTGTCCATCAATCATCACGCAGTTGTCTCCAGTTCTACATTTTTCTGTGACATTTTCAAGAATGGCTTTATTGTACTGCACTCCTGTTGTACCGTCTTGCACTGTTGGCCATTTGACCGTTTTCCGCTGAGTTTGAGTATTTCTAGCTGAGAAGGGGGCTTGCTCTGCATGGACTGCCACTCCATAACACGAATCAATTACTGGAGAATCTGTTGGGGTTTTCTGATCTTTCTTTTAAGCTGACCAAGGAAGTTTTCAAAGCATATGCTGACACCCAGTCCAAAGGAACAAACCTCCTCACATCATCTGCAAGATGACAGAGAGTGGACATTATAGACCATCTCCTCAACCCCATACAAGGTCTTGAACTGTTCAAGGAGATACCTAATCAAGTTATCATCATAGTCACATTAATGGGCACAGAGGGTTGAAGAAAGTATCAGATAGATGCTAATTGGATTGGATTTGCTAATTGGTGATTGGAAGCTGTTGTAAAGTGGTGTTGGAAGAATATCCTTCAATACTACTGGATCGGTGTACAGCAGAAACTGCCTAAACTCAGTAGCTTTCCAGCGATCCAGTTCAGAGAGTGATCGTGGCTTTCGTGCAAATTAAAAGTGTATGTACTTTGACATCCCTACAAGACTCTCTGAGATGGTATTTATTATATGGGAGCTTTGTCTGTTTTGTAGGTTGCCCTTGGTCCAAAAGTTGACATGCATATAATCTAGCATAAGCTTTCTTTCCCTTGCGGTTTAAGTGCGCGCTGCGTGATAAAAAGACAACAACGCGCACATATATATGACTTTTTGTAAACAGTTTTGTTGTTTAAATAGGATATTGCATTAATGTGCTTACATGCTTTATAAGCTGTAAAATAAAAGGTAAAGCCTATTTGTTGCGTTTATGACGCAGATCCAGGTCAACATCAACGCTTTTTTTGGCATCAACATGTCTGTTTCAAACAGCAATATTCTTCTTCCATTTTGCTTCTTTGGCAAATGTGTCTGTAGCCACGGGTTATATGTTATCGTCCCACAAAGTTAAGTATGTCTTGCAGTTAAACAAGTGGCTAACGTGCTTTTTTTCATTCCAAAAACGCGAGGCGCACCTGCCTTTATAATGACAAGGAAAAAAGAAAAGAAGAAGCGCGGTCCTCTTATGAAACGACTGAATCAGCTGGGTATTGATTGTGCAAAAGTGTTGCTGTCTATGTTGTTACAATTGTAATATTTAATAATATTGTGATATTCAGGATTTGTACATTAATCCAGCTCTGGATAACTTAAAACAGCGATTAGACCTTCAGAGCGGCATGCGTCCTGAAGTAAAGCGAAACGGCTATAAACTCCAGCAAGATAGAGTGATTATATGCAGAGCCATATACCTTTATCTTTAAATAAAGTATAACTATAGAAACTGTGTTCATCTTAACTGAAAGCTTCTGCGTGTTTGCTGGGCTTACGCATCGCGCACCTGTCAGTCAGTCAGCACGTAACCCCAAAGGATTTAACAGATAGCGCACAGCATACGGTTCCAGAAAAGTTTGCGCTGTTATAATCCACTTACCTTTTAATACGTTTTGGTGCGATTATAATCCGCTATTAAAAACAACAACAATGACTGAATGTTTGGAATGGGTAATGTAGCCGTGGCGGGATGCATTTTGTTCCCCGCCATGGAAGAATGAATGTAGCGGAAACCAAGCTCTTTAAAAGTTCTCTGTAGTTGTCTTGACAACACAAACTGCTGCTCTGGGATGAGCCGCGTGCAAAAGATGACCCTCTTAACGCAAAGGCGCATTCAATTGGCCCCTTATGCAGTCAAACTAAAAATATATAAAATAATAATTTTAATCGTTTAACTGATAGCATTAATCGGTCACAAACGCACCCTTTTGGTTAACGGTTAATCGATTATTTTGAGCATCCCTAATCTCCATGCCCCTTTGTTTTATGACTGATTATGCAGAAGCATCACAGATAAAGCAGTCTAGGGAGAAATGGAACACCCTTTCATTCATAGTAAAACCTTGTCTTCATGCGGAAACCTCCTCTGCAAAATCTTGGTGATATCTGTTTGGGTTGCGAGGTTTGCTGTTTCCACAGAAGACACAGATGACAAACATATCCCTTTTAAAAATTATTTTTCCAAAAATTTGTCCAAATTTGCTCCTGTGAGCTTTTAAATAATCGCAGTCGATCAACATGCTTCAATATTCCAAACTGGACATACTCTCCACCAACCACTTTTTTGACTTTACGTGTGTGTGTGAAGTCTTCGAAAATGGTTGGGCCTCCCACGCAGTCCTACCAGTGCTGCACTATACGGGACAAGTAACACCTTGCAGCTACCATTCAGTGGCCTCACAGAGGAATTCATGGTTTTACGCACCAGAGAAGCCCTACAGTACAGGGACTCTAGAGATGGCAAGGTGTCATCAGCCTGCATCGAGGTGAGGACAGGCAGGAAATGGAATGCAGGGAAAGCAGTGGAGGTGGCAGAGTCACGCCTGCAACAAAAGGCTCTGGTGGGCACTGTAGCGACAGGCAGAGCGGGCTTGGGCTATTTTCCAAAGACCTTAGTAAGCCAGGTCAAAGGCAAGGAAAGACACCACCTACTCCAGGGAGAGGTTCGAGCAAGTTTGGAGGAAGAGAGAGTCAGTAGGGTGGTAGGACTCCGGCAGCAGGGAGCATGGACTATGTGGAATACACTGCAACGTAGGATCACCTGGGCGAACATCTTGCAGGCGGATTTCCAACGCGTCCGTTTCCTAGTACAAGCTGTCTACGATGTACTGCCAAGCCCATCAAACCTCCACGTTTGGGGAAAGATTGAGACACCTTCCTGCCTTCTTTGCTCTGGAAGAGGCTCTCTAGAACATCTCCTCAGCAGTTGCCCCAAGGCTCTGGCTGATGGTCGCTATCGTTGGCGCCATGACCAGGTGCTTAAGGCAATTGCTGCGAGCTTAGCTTCAGCTATTAACACGAGCAAGAACCATCGTGCTCCAAGGAAGGCAGTCCACTTCATCAAAGCTGGAGAAAAACCCCGGGCCCTCCCACAATTAACAACAGGCCTCCTCCACAAAGCCTCGGACTGGCAACTGGAGGTCGACCTGGGAAAACAGCTGAGGTTTCCTCATCACATCGCTGCAACACGTCTCCGTCCAGACATTATAGCTATCTCAGAAGCTTCAAGACAGCTAATTATTCTGGAGCTTACAGTGCTGTGGGAAGAGCGTATTGAAGAAGCAAATGAGAGGAAGCGCGCTAAGTACCAGGCATTAGTGGAGGAGTGCAGGGAGAGAGGCTGGAGAACTTACTATGAGCCCATAGAAATTGGATGCAGAGGCTTTGCAGGGTGTTCACTTTGCAAAGTCCTCAGTCGTTTGGGCATTACAGGCGTGGCGAAGAAAAGGGCCATTCGATCCGCAAGCGAAGCCGCAGAGAAGGCCACAAGGTGGCTGTGGATTAAGAGGGCAGATCCGTGGACTGCTGTTGGGACACAAGTCGGGACTTGATCAACCCCGGCTGGATCACCTGGGTGAGAGTGTATGATGTTGAGAGACCCGAAACACTCAATGATCCCAGGATACATCACTGATGATGTGTCCCAAATGCATCCATGAGATGTTTCTTGCATAATTCATCAAAGTTCTCACACATTTAGGAAGTGAGGGGATGTGTTTATTTAAAATTTTAAGTAGGCTGTCGGCGGCATTTTGTGTCACACCACACTCTACAACCCACATATAAACAAATATTTCATATTTGTAAAATACTTCGGATACAAACATCTGTCTGATAGTTTGAAAATGTAAATATTAGACATAACTAATGAAATAAAATGAAAACTGCTAAACATAATTAGAAATACTGTGGTTTAATGGTGTTCACACTTAACATATATTAAGACATTGATCATATACAGTATGACATGTCATTATTATCTAGTGATGGGTTGTTCATGAACGATTTGATTCGGGAACTCTCGAGGAGTGATTCGTTCATCCGCGCGTGCGCACATTTGTACAGGTACCGTTAATTTCAAGTCTTCATCACATTGGCAGAAGCCAATCATATGCATTTAGAGCCGGAAAAAGAATTGATCCGCTCACCACTCGAGTCCTCTATCGGGTCTGAGTCACTCGTTCATCACGAGCCAATCATATGCGTTTAGAGCCGGAAAAAGAATTGAACCGTTCATCTCTCGAGTCCTCGGGTTTGAGTCATTCTCTCACGTGATGAACGAACGATCATGGCTCCTATCAGCCTAGACTGTGCATTGATTAAGATTATATGTGACTGTCAGTGTAACGTGAATGAACCCCTGACATTTGAAGACATGAAGAGGTGAACTGAGCAAAGAGACAACAATGCCTTCATAGACGAAAGAGCAGGTAAACATTGAATTATTAATTTCTCCTTCTTATATTCTATTTATGTCTTATTTGTCGTGCAATCAACCTTTTGGACTAGTTGTAGATGTGTTTGGAAGCAATTCGTAACATTTTAATAATATTTTGGCAAATTGAACAAAATGAACGAAACACTTGTTTGGCATGCTGTCCCGAGAGAGACCTAAGCTCCGCTAGACAAGGCCTCAATTTAGAGGGCTCTGCTCTCCATTGTGAAGCTTCATGTGAGTGCTGAGGCTTCTTTTATGTTTAAAGCCCTTTCCACACTCACTGCATGTAAAATGATCCTCTCCTGAGTGAGTCTTCATGTGTTGCTTAATGGAATCGGAGCGTGTGAGAGTCTTTCCACACTGAACACATGCAAATGGCTTCTCTCCGGTGTGAGTTCTCATGTGGTGATTGAGTGTGCTTTTATATGGAAAACCTTTACCACACTCTGTGCATCTGTAAGGTTTCTCTCCAGTGTGAATCCTCATGTGGATGTGAAGGCTTTGTTTTCGAGAGAAACATTTCCCACACTGTGTGCAAGTACAAATTCTCTCTCCAGTGTGTGTTCTCGTGTGAGCTTTAAGGTTGCTATTATGCTTATAACTCTTTCCACACTGAAGACAAGAGTAAGGCTTCTCCCCAGTGTGAATTCTCATGTGCGCTGCCAAGTTTCCTGTATTATAGAAGCTTTTTCCACACTGTTGGCATGTGTACGGCCTTTCTCCAGTGTGAATTCTCATGTGCTGTGTAAAATTTTCTGAAGTATAGAAGCTTTTTCCACACTGTTGGCATGTGTACGGCCTCTCTCCAGTGTGAGTTCTCATGTGGACTGTAAGGGTGCCATTTTGCTTAAAACTCTTTCCACACTGAGAGCAAGAGTAAGGCTTCTCCCCAGTATGAATTCTCATGTGCGCTGCAAAGTTTCCTACATGATAAAAGGTTTGTCCACACTGTTGGCATGTGTACGGCCTCTCTCCAGTGTGAATTCTCGTGTGGGTTTTAAAGCTTTGTTTTTTACCAAAACTCTTTCCACACTGTTCGCAGGTATAAGGTTTCTCTCTAGTGTGAACTCTCATGTGAACATCAAGGTTTGGCTTTTGACTGAAACTCTTTCCACACTGTTTACAGCTGAAATTACATCTAGAATTGGATTTCCGAGGTCTTCCGTGTGAAGTCAGTGTGGGTTTTTCATTAGTCGGTATGTCTTGCTGTTTCTCTTCCATTTCACTCCATTGATGGGTCTCTTCTTTCAGCACCATCAGGTCTTAAAAGAAAAAAAAGAAGTTAACTTAGTATGAAGACACAAAGCGACAAGCATGAAGTGGATGTTTCATCCAAAAATTATAATGACCATACCATTTACTCTGTCATGTGGTTTAAACATTTTTTTTTCTTGTGGAACACAGTAAGCCAGTAGCGTTTTTTTTTTTTTTTTCACAAGATCTTTTGTGTTCAACAGAATCGAAAACCTCATAAAGGTTTAAAACCACACAAGGGAGAGTAAATGGCAGGGTTCAACGCTAAGGATTTTTTAGCCAGTGGTTCTGATTTTTACTTGCCCGGCCAAAATTTTCACTGGCCCCACCTAAAAAAAAAAGTTAATAGCTATTTGACTGTGTGTGTGTGTGTGTGTGTGTGTGCGTGCGTGCGTGTGTGTGTGCACGTGTGTGTGTGTGAAAGGCTTAACGAGGTTAATTAGGTTAACTAGACAGGCTATGGTAATTAGGCAAGTTATTGTATAACAATGGTTTGTTCTGTAGACAGTCTGAAAAACAATTAGCTTAAGGGGCTAATAAATTTGACCTTAAAATGGTTCATAAAAAATTTAAAACTGCTTTCATTCTAGCCAAAATAAAACAAATAAGACTTTATTCAGAGGAAAAAATATTATCAGACATACTATCAACATTTCCTTGCTCTGTTAAACAAAACTTAGGAAATATTTTAAAAAGAAAAAAAACAACAAAGTGGGGCTAATAACTCTGACTTCAAGTGTATATATATTTACAGTAATTTTTGAAATGTTTTTAAGGAAAATTATTCAGTTAATCAAGGCTATATTTATTAAATGTAAAAAAAATAAATAAATTGTTAAATATTCATCAACATTTTAAATAACTGCTTTCTTATTGTATGTAGTTTCAAATAAAACTAATACTCCAGACATTATTGCTTTTATTACTATTACCATTAATAAATATAATAATAATTAATATTAGTGATTTCTGAAGGATAATGTGACTGGAGTAATGAAGCTGAAATTTCATCTTTAAAATCACTGGAATAAATGAATCAATTAAATGATAAACTACTTTTGAACAGTTATTTTATGCAACATTTCACAATTTGTATTTATGATGAAATATTTGCAGCCTTGGTGAGCAGAAGAAGCTTATTTTAACATATATAACAATCATACTTACCCCATACTTTTGACTAGTTGTGTATAGAATATTTTATAAGCGAAAATGTGCACTTTAATTTTAACAACCCACAGACATCGTCACCAAATACAAATTAGAGAGGTCAGACTTTCTTATACAGAGCCTTATTTCAATTGTCAGGTTTTGTAAAAATCTATCTATTGAATTAATCAATCTATTAAAGAAACGTTGGCTAGAATTCTGCATTTTAGGCTTACATTATAGAGAGACATAGCAGATGAACCGAGATTTCATCAGATCGCGAAGATCAATGTTTCGAGCTGTCAGAGTGGAAATGAACAAAACAACTGGCCTAACACAACATATTATATGATTAAAATATGGAAAAATTATCAGAAATTAACTTCGGTCAATTTTCCTAACGGATAAACCGAGATCAGGCTGGATAAACAGCTCTCGGTAATATTTCAGCATGCTTTCACTTTCGCATTTACCGGTAAGAATGACATCACGCCCTGCTTATCATTCTCTCTTCATATAGCCGTATATATGGCTATTACACAATCAAAATACACTGTGATATAGCCTGGGTCGTTAGTTCGTTGCATTGTTTTGTTTTCTCACTACAATCGATCCGCTCAATAGGGCAGAGACCGTCTCATTCAGGCGATCTCGGACTGATTGATTTGGCGTGGGCGCGGATGCGAGCGCTGAGCGCAACTGCTAGATATATGCCAAACAAACCGCGCTAACGGGGGAAACGAGACAGATTCCGAAACAAACGTCTATGTGTGAAAGCACCGTAAGATTGTATTTGCACACAATTGACTGACAGTCGCAGCACGCAGCTCTGGCTCGATCTGGCAGGCAAAAAGGCAGCACTGGCCCAAATGGGCCAGTAACATTCTGTACACTGGCCCGAGTGTCTTGCACGCTGCCATCGGGCAGTCCTTATTGTCGAGCCCTGAATGGTGAGGCTATTTTCATTTCTGTGTCAACTATCCCTATAAAAGGTTCCTATTATGAACCTTTTTTGTTTAAAAAAAGATGTAAAATAAGTCTTTGGTGGTTCATTCTGCTGTGGCGACCCTTAATAAATAAAGGGACTAAGCCCAAGGAAAATGAATGAATGTACTTGTGCAAATGCTTAATGCCACGTTTGCTGTAAACTGGAGAGATGAGGATATGGCAAAATGACATACTTTACTGCTTGTTTTCATTCATTTCAAGAGTTCACACTTAGCTGATGACTGATTATAAAGCTTGTTTGGCATGCTGTCTCGAGAGAGAGCCCTAAGCTCAAAAGATCCTCTTTTTAATGTCTGGGTGAAAAACAAAAATCTTTTCCCCTTTGAACACAATATATTTTCTTTTGAGAAACTTTTACAATATTTTGGAGCAGTAAACATGTCAGGCTACATCATTCAAATGTATCATTGACTTCTGCTGTCTTTATTTGTTCAAAAACCATTTAAAACGGCATCTTTGGATATCTTATTTGCTGGAGATACTGTTGTCCTAAAAAACTTAAAACATAATAAAAAAATAAATCAATAAATAAAACTTACATATACCGTAAAAACGATATAACAGAACATTTTGGCAGTTTCAAAACCTTGACTTTTCCAAACTGCGGTATACCTTGAAATTGGTTATCGTCCCATTTTGACATAATTTAAACCTGGGTTGCTGGGTCAGTTGGCGTTTGTGTGGAGTTTGCATGTTCTCCCTGCATTTGCGTGGGTTTCTTCTGGGCGCTCCGGTTTCCCCCACAGTCCAAAGACATGAGGTAAAGATGAATTGGGTAGGCTAAATTGTCTATAGTGTATTAGTGTGAATGAGTGTTCGCGGTTCATTCCGCTGTGGCGACCTCAGATTAATAAAGGGACTAAAGAAAATGAATGAATAAACCAGGGTTACTGCAGGTTTCACCAAGTTAAATGTAAAGCTTTAAGACCATTATGAATGAAATTTTAGACTCATAAAGGGCTAAAGGTTAAGGAATTTTTCAAATGGCCCAGATGGAAAAGATTTGTATTTGCCCTATCAAAACAAATTATAATTGAATATATTTATCAATACAATAATGAATGAATAATAAAAAATACAGTTCTTTAGATATTTCTTAGCAAAAGATTTTAAATTTTGTGTAAAAACAAGCAAGCTTTACTTGTATCTATACACTGTTTTTCAACAAACTTTCTTTAAAAAATAAATAAATAACAAAAACAATGAACAAAAGTTTTAAAACTACAATAAACTAAATTTATGCACAAGAATCTGTCCAGGTCATGTCCTCAGCAGTAAATACATTGAGCACGTTTAAACAAATGTTATTGTAAGGAAAATAATTAAACCATTATGATAAATAGAGTAAAAATTACCTTTTTGAATAAAAAGTTGAAAGTGTTATTGAGATAAATTGTTGGTGATTGTGTGGGTTTTGGCCAGATTATGAAGCAAAACATGAACAAAGGAAAATGAAGATTTGTTTAAAAAAGATTTAGGACCTACAACACAATATTTCAATAAATTTAAGACTTTTTAAGGCCAAAACTTGATTTTGGAATTTAAGACATTTTATGACCCAGCGGATACCCTGTTTAAACACAATAGCCCTGGTAATTAGTTATGATAATAATGATGTAATTCTAACTCAGATACTATCTGTGAGAACTAGTAACAACTACTAGAAACAAGTTTAAACCCATAAAGAAGTTGATGAAAAAAGTTAATTTGGATCAATGTGACATTTGCAAATGGAAAGTACTAAGCCAACACCATCACTGTAAAGGCAGATATCTTTTATGAGAATACTGTAGGTCAAATATCCTCAGCTCAGTTAAACTTTTATTTATTTATTGTTTTTGTTTGTTTATATAGCGCCAGTGCTCAAAGACGCTTTACAAACAGTACAAGAACAAGAAAAGCAATAACCTTAAGAAGGTAGAGAAAATGGAAGATTAATAATACATAAAGTAATGACAAAATAAATGAGAACAAGTAACAAGAGAGAAACTGATTCCTGTCTTTCAATGAGTGCTTATGTGCATTTAGGAAAACTAGGCAGCACACTCAGGGCAGCAAGATGGATTAATTTAGTATTCTTATTATAAAATTATTTCAGAATGAGGATCAGATGACTGAGTTGGTCTTTGAGAATGAAAACCAACCTGTTTGTTCCTGCAGATCTTCCTGTTTGACTGTGAATGTGTCTTCAATCTTCACATCTTCACTCTCCTCTTTAATAAACGCCATCTTTATAACAGTGTGGAGATCAGTCGCTTCAGCAGGAGTTTTTCTCTGCGTTTGGACACTTTATCCTGTATAAAATTAACAAAACAATAAAACTTTTTAAAATAAATAAAACAATGAACAGAAACAAAATAACTTCTCTTCAACACTTGCTTCAACAGTTTCTATGAGTTTATATGAAAGTAATTAAAAAAAAATAAATCAGGTAAGTCCGAGCAAGAAACAATAGCCACAAATGAGCTGATTAAAACTAGTACTCTATCTCTTATTTATAGTGATGTATACTTAGAATGGAATGACATTATGCTATTTAATAAATTAAACCTTCATTAAAACACACACTTTTCTGCTACTTTTATTCAAACAATAGCCCCCAGTGAAATAGTACTATGTTGTATAAAGGGTTAAATAATATTGTCAACAGCAGGAACTTAATTTATCATCGGGTGAAAAACCAAAAACTTTAATGAATCGTTTTCTTCTTCTTTTGCTTTTATTTGGCAGATCGCATCAGTTCTTGTGCATTACCGCCACCTTCCTGTAACCTGATTCAGAGACTACTCTGTTCCCATTATCCCTTCCCCTAACCTAGTGAGAGACTTCGCATCCGCCAGCTCTGCGTCTCCAGCTCTTCTGACTTCTGCTCACTCCTCCCACTATGTCAGGTTCAGAAAATAACTCCTTCCATCCCTGCCTTAAACTTAATTTATAATTTTACATTAAAATAATTCTAATAATCATATCTTATTAACCAGTCCTGTGTCTTTCAAAAATCTAAACAATGCAGTGCACTTATGCCTTCCTACCTCAGGATTTAATTAAAAATTCAATGTAAACTCATAATTTCCTTCCTTCTTTTCTTCATTAGACCGCTCACAATGAATAATCACATGTTCAACAGATTCATTTTTCCCCACACTCATATAGACCTGTTCTGTGCTGTGCCATTAACTTGATTGTACTGTTAAGTCCAGTATGCCCAATTCTTAGTCTGGATAAAATAGTATCCTCTATCCTTTCTCCACTCGAGTGCCTCCCTTTACCCACTTTTGGTTGAATATTGTACATTTGCCTTCCATTCTTTCCTGCTTCCCATTGGTGCTGCCATTTCCCCATTATTTGTTTCTTTATTATTGCTTTAACTTCAATTCTACTGTAATTCACTTCCAATCCCCTATATTCTCTTCCATCGTAGCTTGCTTTGCCATTTTATCTGCTGCTTCATTTTCTTTTAATCCCACATGAGCCGGCACCCACATAAACACATAGAGGTAAAGTTGGTTTTATACTCGCAAATTCAGACTTTACCCTTAATAATACTCTTAATAATATAATTTCATAAAAGTATTATTTGCCAACTCTAAACAGCGAAATCACTATCAAATGACAACATTGTTCACAGTCAAATAAACAGTGTTAATGTTTTCAAGTCATAGTTGTATGCTAATTCCCATCAAATATTCAAAGTAACATGGTAAACAACACAGAGATTTCTAAATGAACGAATGTGCAAATATAAAACCAACTTTACCTCAATCATGAACACAACCTTTACTTTTTCTCCTAATTTATTCAACTCTTGTAAAATTTCAATAACCAAATCTTGCCTACAGTCTGAGTGTTTTGCTTCAATGTTTAAAAGAGCAGAACTACAATCTGAGCAAACTAAAACTTCCTTAATTCCCGCATCTTTCACCCATTGTAAAATGTTTCCTCTGTGTATACTGATAATTTGTTTGAAATCCTTAATTTATTTTTCTATTTGGAATTACACATGCTATTCCTAGCTGGTCATTATCTGGATTTTTTGATGCATCTGAAAAAACGTAGTCCACAATCAATCGCTTTATATCTGTGTAGAAGTTTTAAAACAAACCTTTCTCCAGCTGAAACACAGCGCAGGAGAGGCGCGGCCTTATGACGTCACACGACACGCCAAAAGAAAAGTCTTTTTTTTTTTTTAGCTTTTTTTGCCACTTACTGTTGCAGTCATGACTTATTGATACATTTCTCCATCGTTTTCCACTTTCTCTCTCTCTCTCTCTCTCTCTCTCTCACACACACACACACACACACAGACACACTCACAGATATTCAGTATTTGAAGTTGTTCAAATAATCTGCACATTTTTAAGACAATTTTGAAAAACGTTTTTAGGGTCATTATCACTATAAAGTGCATTTGGGACATCAAAAAAAATGTAGATTTTTGATTTACCTACACAGTTATTGTATTCATTAAAATTTAGGCTGTAAGAAATGAATGTTGGTCAAGCTCTTTCCCTTTTTACATATAACACGCAAACAGAAAAACAGCAAGCATCCCTCAAATTGTGTCAACCCTGTCATGGACAAATTCAAAGTAGTATAAGTGTATTTCCATTGCAGTGTGATTATAAAATGTGTCTTTTCAGAAAGGTCATGTGTCCCTTTACCAACCCAATTATAGATTCTAGAAAAAAAGTATTTTTAGAATAATTAAATAATGGACAAAACATTGATTTCCAAATAAATTATGTAATAATTCTTTTCAAAATAAAACCCAAGATCTAAAATATTTTGTCAAACTTTCCAACAATATTAACTTGTTGGTTTATTAAGAAATCACACAAGATATTTTGCTGAGGTTATAAATAATTGATTTTTTTAACATGACTGGAAAACAAGATGATAGGGTTGACATTGACATGACAGGGTGGACAAAGGCTTTATTTGGTGAACTAAATATGGAGGAACATTTGAAAAACAACAGGTACAACAATAAATATTAAAGGGTTCGTATAAAAGGGTTGTAAATGTTTTCAATAATTTAACTTTTTTCAGTAATACTGCAAACCACTGAGCCACCATGCCGCCTCTTCTGTTATCAATTAAGTTTTAGCAATATACAGATAAATGAAAAATAAACAATTTCGTCCTTCAAATGAAACTAAATTTGCTAATGAATGTAAATCTTTACATTGTTCATTGTACTGGAGGAGTAAAGGGAATGTTGGAAGCAAGTCAAGTTAAACACCTTAATAATACTGTTTTATTTTTCAGAATAAGGTAAACTTCATTTCTACTGTAATTAGATTACAGATCTTCACATAAATCTACAAATACTCAGGGCTGTAGTTTTATTTTAATCAGTCAATGAGCTTCATTATATGGACTTTAAAAGGATATCCTTTGTAAATACTGAGACAGATATTGCCAAAAGGTTTGTATTGTCCATTTATGCATCTACTGGTGTAGTGTGTGTGTGTATATGTGTTGTAAGTAACATATAACATTCCCTAATTAGTAATAATAAAATAGTAAATAAATAAAGTGTCAATAACAATGCATATGTCCGCCCTGTCAAGGAAGGATTTGTGACAGGGTGGACAATGACATGAAGACATTTTTGGCTATGGATATCATTTATTGAACACATGCTGTACCTGCAGCTGGTAAAGTGTTTCCCTATTTAAGCTCTTTGCACACAGTTTAACAGCTGTATTTTAATCTCTAAATTAAAAGAAAAAAATGAATATTTTATTCTGACAGGGTGGACATGTTAAGCTTGACATAATTCATTTTCAAACTCAATATGAGGAAAAATAGCAAACATTAGTGAAGATATTTACTGTGGGCACATCAGATGTTTAAACCTCTGAAGAAAAGCAAAATGGGCATGGGCATGCCAATGAGTACATCAGAGGGGTCTTAAAGGGGCATTTACCACATTATGACAGTGTAGACAGCAAATTCAAGGACACATGCAAAACGATTAATAATATTATGAAAACAAAATAAAAGTGATTAAAATGACTTTTTTTGTGAAATAACTTGTTAAAGACAATAAAAATATTTACAAATCTTTTAAATTTGATCTAATTTATCTACTTTGTAGACTCACTGAAGTTGGCTCAGCAGTGTGTGGGACATGGCAAAACCACATCCATTCAATGACAGAATATGGCAAAAATTGACAAAAACATTTTAAAACACTCATAATTCTACATGCATGTGTGTAAAAGTTTAACAATTATATCAAAACATCAGAGTTTCATCATTGTGCATTATGCCCATAAAAACCTTACTATTTTGATAAATGTGGTTTAATGAAGTGTAAAATGATAGTATAAAATTATTTTCTTCAATAAATACATTTTAAAAAAATGTGTATGTATGGCCCCTGACTTTATTCACAACACTCAGTGTGGCCCTTACTAAGTTTGGATTTGACACCCCTGGTTTAGTGGATTTAGTCAGAACTGAGTTGTGGGCAGCTCATATGCAAGCTATTGTTTTCAGTCATTCTTCTCACACTTCATACAGTTAACTCACTCTGTATACAGAAAGTACATTCCCTTTAATTTTGCACTTAAATATTGCTGGTTATTTTTGATGATTGAGTTTTTTTGTAGATTAAGATTTGATACTTTTTTTGGTGCAACCAAATGTTTGCAGCTGTTTCAACTGTCAAATAGGCTCGGAACTGATCAAATGTTTTAATGGTTAATTTTTCATACATGTACACGCAGTACAATTATTTGACAAGTACATAAAGTAAAACAATCACTTTAATAGTTCACTGAATGTTACCCTTAAATAGTGAAAGTTTTCTTGATTTTTACCAACAACTGTTTACATTTAATTGTACAAGTTGCATCTACCCTGAAATAAACGTCTGAACGATTAAAATGTGTTCCTATAGAGATAGTTTACTAAAAAAAGAAAAATTACTCGCTATTTACTCACTCCTCAAGTGTTTACAAACCTCTGTGTATTTATTTCTTCTGTTGAACACAAAAGAAGATAGTTTGAAGAAAGCTAGAAACCTATAACCATCGACTCCCATGAAAAAAAAACATAAGAAATAAACAACAGAACAAGTAAAGAGTGAGGAAATTGTCAATTTTCATTTTTTTTTTGTCCTTTTGAGTTTGTGTTTCTATACAGCTGGGTGTTGCATTATTGTCAAC